CCTAAACCCTTAACCGTAAACCTTAAACCCTAAATACCCTCCAAGCCCTAAACCCTTAACCCTAAACCTTAAACCCTAAATACCCTCCAAGCCCTAAACCCTTAACCCTCAACCTTAAACCCTAAATACCCTCCAAGCCCTAAACCCTTAACCCTGGAATCGGAGGGCCTGTCTTCTTGCCCTCTTTCAACCCCTGAAAAAATGGGAAGTCCGGTGCCCGAACAGCCTCGCCTAAGAGCTTTCGCGAAGTCACCGTAACTTTATCTGGTTCCCTGTTGGTGCTATATTAAAAGTGATCGTCTTTTAATCCTTGTTGGGTTTCATTATCACAAAATTGTAAAATTGTGCCCTACAAGGACCCAGTTATGGTAGCTAGAACGGGCTACTAAACACCAAAGCCTCAAGACGACGATTGCATGAAGCCCGATATCTTACATCCATGTCCTGAACATTAGAGCACCGATGATGGTAGCTTCAGAAACCAAGGAGCCCCGTCAGAGATCCATGGTCCTCTCTGCAGGACCCCCCCTTAAAAAAAAAAAAACACGAAGGACCCCCTGAACCCGAAAATGAGGGTTTAGGGTTTAGGGTTTAGGGCTTATAGAGTTTAGGGATCATGTTAACGGGACCCCGAGGTTTAAGAAAGGCTCCTTGTAGACAGAAAGGAGTGGGCCTGGACGCCTTTGGCCCACGCACGTTGCGTCAGCTCACCCTGCACCTGGAGAGTTAGGGTTCAGGGTTTAGGGTTTAGGGTTTAGGCTCCTTTCAGGATGTCCACAAGGGTGGCAACGGAAGGATCACGGTGGTAAGGCTCCGGGTTCGGGGTTCAGGGGACTACGGTGGTTTTGTAAGCTTGGATTGGGTTCAGGCTTGGCTTCTGGGGTTTTGAGGCTTACGAAGAGTCGGGTGCCAAGAAGGGAATGTAGGAGCCTCAAAAAAATTAGAATAACCACAATTATGATAAGGAACCCCCAAAAATTAGTCTAGGTAACTATGGAGGCCCCTAGAACCCTAAACCCTAAACCCTAAACCCTAAACCCTAAACCCTGTATTATATTGGGGAAGAAACGCCAAGTGGCCGAGTGTGGAAAGAAACTCCGGCCGAGTGCCGACTGTGGAGATTCGCACGGCAACTCGAAGCCCTAAACTCTTTTTGTTTTAGGGTTTAGGGGTTAGGGTTTAGGGTTTAGAGTTTTGGGTTTTGGGTTTAGGGTTTAGGGTTTAGGCACTCCAATACCCCTTAATTAAGGAATATGCCTTAAATCATATTAGGGATCCTACTATACTTTAAGGTATATTCCTTAATTAAGGGATATTGGAGTCTCTGGGTTAAGCCCTAAACCTAAGCCCTAAACTCTGAAAGACCTTAAGCCCTAACCAAAGCCCTAAACTCTGAAAGACGTTAAACCCTAAACCTGAAAGTCAACAAAACCCTCAACTGAAAGTCCTAAACCTCAGCCCTTAGGCCCTGAGCCCTAAACTGAATTCCCGAGAATCACCGATCTTAAACTGCTCGTTGCTAGTGAGTGGTGTGACGCAGACCTGAAAAACATCTCCGAACTGTTCAGGGTTTCGGGCCAGAGAGGGGACAGGGGACCCCATGCCCGCCCGCACGGGCAGGTGCGGAGATGCGCACTGAGAGTAATATTGCTGCATGATGCAATAACCCTAAACCCTAAACCCTAAACCGTCAATCCCATCAAGCGCAGAAACCCAACATCGAGCATCCCTAAACCCCAAACCCCAGAACCCTAAACCCTAAACCCCAAAACCCAACATCGAGCATCGAGACCCCTCGAGCGAAAGAACTTCTTTCGTCCGGGGCCTTCAGTTCGCCGAACTGGGCCTCATCGTTGGCATCCTGCTAATGCGCTTGTGGCTGCCATTACTCGTACTATTTTGGGAGGGCACCTTATTATAGCTATATTATAATGGGCCCCAAAACCCTATTCTAACTGTTAAGGCCCCTGTATTGCAGAGTGCTGACGCATGGTGTTTGAAGTGAGTCTTTCTCTTGTCAATGTGGCTAGCACCGGATATCGGTAGTGCCGTAGGCGATATCTGCCATTGTTGGCACTTATCTGGGAATATGGCTTGGCTTCTGCCTCGTTGAAACTTGTTGCCTGCTGTTGCTGTGCATGTTCTTTGTTGGCACTTTGTCTGCATCGTCGGGTTGCTGCCGTAGGTGGTTTTGCTGCTGCAAGCATTGGTGACCATGGCCATGACAATGAGGATGACAAGGAGGATCAGGATGATAGTGTCGGACGGGAGGCCAAGTCATCCGAAGTAACAACTTATGATTAATGGCTGCTCGCTCGGCCTTCTGAGAACTCCAGATACAAGCACTCATGCTCGCTAACATAGCTGCCACACCTTTCCCGGAATCGTCTCACAGTCCTTGATGCAGCCGGGACGAAGGCCATCTCCGATGCTCAGCGACCTTCGCGCAAGATAGAAGATTTGGACGCACAGAACCGTGGCAGCACGTGCTTGGTTGGAAGCGGTGTTCCCGATCTGGACACTGCTTTTCTGGCAAGCCGAATCTGCACATGGGATTGGCACTACGGTATGCTGCCCTGTGGCTTCAAGAGCACATGCCATACAGAGGGTGACCGGACTGCTTACGGGGGTCCCACTTCCCATACCTGCAGCACCTGTGCCCTTGCAATCTTCGCCACGAACTCGACTGGTCTATATTTCAGCTGAGGGTAAGTGTAAGGACAAAGAAGAGCATCTGATAGCTCAACTTTACAATATTTAGTTTTGATATGTTGATAACTTATGGTTGCGCTATGCAAAGGTTTTGCGATGCCAAGATCAGTAAGAGGTCATCAGAAAATCTCCTGTTCAAAAATAGTGTTCATTTTTATTTTTTCTTTTCATGCATACCATATAAAGAGTACTTTCCTCATCTGTTGCCACTGAAGTTTTTATCAAAAATAGCAAAAGTCTGATATTTTGAAGAAAAGCCGTGATGAACATACTCGAAGGAAACTGCTTAGAAGAACAACCAAGATCATGCAAAAATCCATTGAAATTGATCTGATAATAGACTACTAGACATAATCATTAAATCACCAGCTAGGCGAAGATTTTTAGATGTAGAATGATCAAGATTTATCTACGGATGCGCTCTGTGCCATAGAATCCACAAAGGCAGGCCACAAAAATTCTGGGGTTCAGGGTTTCACGGGCCACGGAGTCGGGTCCAGACCAGAGAAGACACGGCACCAAGTGCCGAGCACGTCGTATTTCTTGCAGATGTCCAGAATGTCATCCCAGTGCTGGTAGGCAAAGTTTTCCTCGCCAGCCACCAGTTGAAACTATGGGACAACTCCGTACAACGCATCCCAACAAAAATCCGTCGTGCTTTGCTGAACGAGGTTGGACTGCATGCTTCCTGTAAGCTGGAAACCCACGCAACAGGCCACCGCCGCCGGACCTAGCACCACTACCTCAACAGCAACAGTAAGTCGGTAAGTATGATAATATAGTTCCTACAATGATAGAAATAATGATAGCAGATAGCAATAAGAAGTACAAAACAACCTCTGCTGGAACAGCCTGGGCAGGATCCCACCTCTCGAAAGCCTCGAGATAGAACGCCACGCCACAGAATTCGGAGCCCTACAGGGCCTCCAAGAACAGACCAAGGAAGCCAAAGCTCCAGAACCCCGAAGCCGGATCCCAAACCCCCCCAAATAACCTAAAACCTTAAAACCCTGAACCCTAAACCCTGGGGCCTAACCCTGGGGCCTCATGCTTGGAGATGCAAAGCTTCGCATGGATGGAGCCCCCACGGCTGACCTGAAGACTGCGCCACTTCATGAGGGTTTCAGGTTTGGGGGTCGGCAATTGACTCTTTGAGGCTTTGGCGCTTGCGGTGCGTCGGGCTATCACACAGGCACTGCGGCATCAGCAGCAATATTGTCACTCATACCCATAAACACACTCAGAGACTAGAGAACAACAGCAAAACCTGCTTCAGGAGTTGCGGTGGAGTCGGTGCATGGTCGTCGTGGCAGAGAAGTTGCGAGCGGCTTGTAGTGTGCAGCTAGCAGGTGATAGTCCGTGTACTGCGGTAGGTAGTGCAAGCAGTATGTGGTAAGTACAGTGTAGCAAATGAGAAGTAGTGAAAACCTAACAAGTGGAGGTTGATAACCAGCTGGTGGCTAGTAGCTGGTAGTTGGCAGTTAGAGGTATATTGTAACAGTTTTGAGTACTTGATAGACGCTGGTCGCTATCAGTTGGTCGCCAGCCGCTAGTGGCCATTAGCCAATCGTCAAAAGCTAGCGGCAAGTAGTTTCTAATAAATAGTTAGTAATATTGAAGTTGTAGCCGGTAATAGCTAAAGTAGTAGTCATTGACCAGTGCAACTAATTGCACGACACCGGACGAAACCTTGTAAATTCGGCTGCCTAAACCCTAAACCCTAGACCCTTAACACCAAAACCCTATACCCAAACATGCCACCGGCCTGAACAGGCGACTTATGTCCACAGGTGACGGAGGCCCCATGCAGAGCCAAGTCTCTTCCGCTCGCAATTACTGCGAGAGCAGCGTCGCTTTACGGCTCAGGGTCTAGACCCTAAACCCTAAACCCCGAACCTAGGATTCCAGGATGTGGAAACCAACCAAACAGACCTCCTCATTACGACGACACGACCAAAGATGGCTTCAGAATGCGTAAACTCTGTATCCAAGGGGTCCTGGCCCTAGAACCCTTCCAGAGCCCTGATAGAAACCTTCTAAAGACCCAACAAAGCCCACAACAACTCGAACAACAGAATCCGATAAAACCCAAGACTCTAGCAGTATTGTACGGAAATTGGTAACTATTCGGGCGTCCATGTTATAGCAGAAGCCTTACGACCAGGACTGAAGGACCCAGGGGCGGGACGATACCCGTGAGGCGCTTCGCCGTCAGAGGCACGAATCGCAGCAGCACACCAGCATGGATGGTCCTTGGGACTTACTTACGCAGGCTTTGCAGGGATGTTGCAAGGGTGTTACACTGTCTCGATCCGGCTTCATTGGTGTTTCGCGATGGTTTGTAAGGGCTTCTGTAAGAGCCTGCAAGCGGGGCGCATGAACCAAGCCGGGGAGTATGTCTAATGAGTCTATTGTAAGGGCCTCAACAATTCGGATATATCGCGGTTTTGCACAGGAATATTATAGAGGGAGAATGTCACTAAATACTCAGACCTCTATAATACTGATGGGAAATCAGCTGTGGTAATTTTTGGTTCCTTCCTGGGATGCAAAAAATGTGCCACTGGCACTAAACACTAAACCTGAAACCCTCAAGCTGCAAGCCGCAAGCCCACCTCGAAAAGGCTTAGGGTTTAGGGGTTTAGGGTTTAGGGGTTTAGGGTTTAGGGTTTAGGGTTTAGGGTTTAGGGTTTAGGGTTTCTATCCCTCATGGTTCCGGCACTGCTTCTCCGAGAGCGTTCTCTGATTTGGGCATATGGGCGCCCTCCGAGCACTGAAATGCCTCGCCCCTCTGATGCCTTCGGGTGATAAGGGATCCCAACTTCAAAGAGCCCCTGTTGAAGGACCTCCCTATGTCCCTAAACCCATAGCTTTCCAAAGCCCTAAACCCTAAACCCTAAACCCATAGCTTTCCAAAGCCCCCTTTTGCCACTCCCAAGGGCCAGCAATCCGGGCTCCGGGCCAGTAATCGACGCCCTGCTCGGCCTGGTACCCAGGAGGCTGAACCAAGGAAGCTTAGCGTAGACGAGCCAAAGGGTTTAGGGCTTAGGGTTTAGGTTTAGGGTTTAGGGTTTAGGGGCTTAGGGTTGAGGGTTTGGGGTTTTAGGGTTTAGGGTTTGGGGTTAAGGGTTTAGGGTTCGAGCACAAAGGGCTTGTTGCTCTGAGTCAACTTATCTTCCGTTGCGGGGCAAAGGGCATTGGGCTTCTGGGTAGAGGGGGGCGCACACATGCTACTATCAATAATAACGAGCATAGTCACCGTGGTAAAAATACTAGCAATAACAAGAACACTAATAAGAAGAGCAACAATAAGAACAAGCCTTGATTGTTAGAATAGGGTTTTGGGGGTTCCTTATTAAAAGTATAATTTAAAATACCCAAAACCCTATCCTCATCATTAAGTCCATACAATTAGCAACCAGAGTCCAGGCAAAGCAAGCTTACAACCCCAATTGGACTCGGCAGCCCAGACTCACACGCCCGAACAAATTCGGCAACTTTGTCCCGGGATTGTAAGGACACCTGGGCTCTTCAGCTCCTCAAGTAAGGCTCTAAGAGACTCCCCCTGCATCTTTGGATGGTTCTGTCCATGTCCCCATGCCTCCCATACCTCATACGTCTCTTAAGTTATGAAAACCCTAAACCCTAAACCCAAACGGTTCTTAAGTCTCGCATGGGCCTGCTCGATCAACGTCTCACGGAACTTTTCCCAGGTCAGGTCCTCAGCGATGCCGTCGACCTCATCGCCATGGTGGGTCCAGGGCTTGGGGGTCTGGGATCAAGCTTCTATGAGAAAGTCATTCCTTCAACGTTCGGGGTCTCACATTCATGTTGAATTATGGCTAAGTGTTCTGTACCTCAATGTGTGGCAGCGTGTGGATGCAGGGACGAAATAAATTGGAGGTAGGCGGCTGCAGAGACTTCAACCAGGATACTTGGGCGAGTTCTGGGTAAGCTGATGGAACTTACGATCGGTGGGTAGAGAAAACAACCGGCTTCGAAGACAAAGGGTGCGAGCGTTAAGTCTGCGGAGTGGCTGTCGTGCATCAGAGAGGTGCTAGAAAAACACAATGGTCAGGACAGAAACCACTTGCTCTGCGATTGACATTTTGATGAACTCAGATAGCAGATAATGGACTCTGCGCGCTTTCTCTGGCATTTCTGTCTACTCAACAGAGCCAATCTCATCTGTTCCCTCAAGGCCCAGCTTGAACTGATTTATGCAAGCTCCCCCCACAAAAGTCCTACCACTGCGCACCATACTTGTGTCGAGCTGTATGACGAGGATCTTCAGGGAATCTCCAGCTAGGTTTCAGCTGCTACTGCCCTAAACCCTAAACCCCAAACCCTAAACCCCAAACCCTAAACCCTAAACCCTAAACCCTGAACCCTAAACCTTAAACCCAAACCCAAATGGCCAGAGCCAGGGCCTTCTCAAGCGCTTGGTAGATGGGCACCGTCCCCACAGGCATGGCCTCAGCGAGGAAACTCGGCTTGACACGAGGTTTAGGGTTTAGGGTTTTGGGGGTTTTAGGGTTTAGGGTTTTGGGGTTTTAGGGTTTAGGGTTTAGGGTTGAGGGTTTAGGGGTTTAGGGTTTTAGGGTTTAGGGTTTAGAGGAAGCGGGCTTCTTGAGGAAAGCTTGTTCTTACCCTAGGTCATCTGCAAGCTGATACTGTACAAAGTCTTTTTGTCATATATATATATATATACATATACAGATATGTATGTATGTATGTATGTATGTATGCATGTATGTATGTATGTATGTATGTATGTATGTCTGTATGTCTGTATGTATGTCTGTATGTCTGTATGTCTGTATGTCTGTATGTCTGTATGTCTGTATGTATGTATGTATGTATGTATGTATGTATGTATGTATGTATGTATCTATGTATGTGTATCTTTGTATGTGTAAGTATGTATGTATGTATGTAGGTATGTATGTAGGTATGTATGTATGTATGTATGTATGTATGTATGTATGTATGTGTGTATGTGTGTGTATATGTATCTCTATATATATATATATATCGGGTTTAGGGTTTGGGGTGTGTGAGTGTGCAAATAAATAAAAATACACAGATTATATATATATATATATAACTGCATGTTGTGTGTTCAGCTGTTGCTTTTGGGGTTTATGGCATTTTCTTGTGCTGGAAGGGGAGTGGGTTTAGCATCAAAGACGAAGGTTTCATGATTCAGTGGCTGCGTGGTCTATGTCTTCTTTGCGAGGTTAAGTTGACGGCTTAGAGGCCGTGGGCACATACACAGCGCATGGGATAGGTTCCATGTTCGGCATTGAGCTCCGTACGATATGGATGGACTGCCATACATCAAGACATCCATCAGTGTAAACCATAAAAAACAAAAGCCCCCTCCTGCGCAGCAACTGAAAACCACGAGCTGCTTACAGTGAAATACCGCAAGGAACGTTGACAATCCAACAATCTGCTCGACACCTCTCAAGCTTAGGGTGTCCACACTGGTGCCTTTTTAGGTCCCCAAAATAGTACGGCACCACTATTAAAAGGACCCTAAAAAGGACCCCAATACGGAGAACTACCCATATAGAAACCTTATATAGAAACCCTTAATAGATCCCTGCGAAGAAGGAACCCGAAGCTGGATTTAAACTGGTTCATGTTGTATAACCAGACACATCTTCAAGGTCACATACTCGGCAGCATTGGTCTGGTGGTACACCGAGGCTGTTGTGCGTTTAGGGTTGAGCCCCCTGGACCCGAACCCTTTAGAGCAAACGTCCCGAAACCCCAAATCCTAAACCCTAAACCCTAAGCCCCTCATCCTGACTGGTAAATCCTACAGAACCCTTCAACAGCCCCTATAGAACGCTTAAAGGGACCTTGTAGAGCCCTTAACGATCCTTCAGGAACCGCCAAACACCCTGAACGAAATCCATTCGGGCGCCCCAGCTTGACCCTCCAGCTTCTTGACGGCCTGAGCGGTCACCCGATTTAGGGGTTTTAGGGGTTTAGGGGTTTAGGGTTTTAGGGTGTTAAGGGGTTTAGGGTTTAGGGGTTTAGGGGTTTAGGTGTTTAGGTGTTTAGGGGTTTAGGGTTTGGGGTTTAGGTTTTGACGGCCTGAGGATCAGCTCGCAGGGTTTCGGCTTCTTCTGGTGCTTCAGGAGATTGAGCTCGGGGTTTAATTAGGGTTCCTCACAAATTGAAACCATAAGCCCTAAACCCTACAACCCTACACCGTAAGCCCTAAACCCTATAACCCTAAACCCTAAAACCCTAACCCCTAAAACCCTAAGCAGTCGTTTTGAGCGCCCCCTTCTCTTGGCGTACGAACACTCGGGGAAAGGCCTGTCTGGCGGTCCCAAGGTCACCCGGTTTAGGGTTTAGGGTGATTGGGGGTTTAGGGTTCCAGGTATAGGGGTCTAGGGTTTAGGGTTTAGGGTTTAGAGTTTCGGGTTTAGGGTGTTCAGGGATTTAGGGGTTTAGGGTGTTCAGGAGTTTAGGAAAGCTCAAACCTCATGATGCAGGGGCCTTAATAATTAGAATAGGGTTTTGGGCTCCTTTATAGTATCATTATTAAAATAAGGAACCCTAGCAGGAATATTGGGTTTGCGTGTTCAGGTGTTTAGGGGATGTAATTAGAGCTTTAGGGGGTTAGGGATTTTAGGGTTTTAGGGGGTTATATAGGGTTTAGGAAAATTAAGACCATCCGGCTGGCGATCGGGATCGAGGCTGGGGTTTAGGGTTTGGGCCCTTGGGAAGCCGGAGCTGGGGCTCTGGGAGGCTTTCAGGATTCAGCATCCAGCTTTGGGGTTTGGGGTTTGGGGTTTAGGGTTTCGGGTTTGGGGTTTAGGGTTTAGGGTTTGGGGTTTAGGGTTTGGGGTTTAGGCTTTCAGGGTTTGGGATTTGGGGTTTAGGGTTTAGGGTTTCGGGTTTGACTGAGAAACATGGCAGCAGCTGGGTGCCCTCACGTCGGCCAGCTCATCCGCGGTAGCATACACGGGCTTTGGCATGACACCTCGTAGCTGAGACCAGCGGCTTCGGACCCCGGGTTGATTCTTTAGGGTTCAGGGGTTTAAGGGTTTAGGGGTTTTAGCGGTTTAGGGTTTTAGGGTTTAGGGGTTAGTTCAGGGCCGTAAGGGTTTGGGTGTAGGATTTAGGGTTCAGGGACTGATGGGGTATCTCCTTGAATGTTGTTGGCTTACCCTCCACCATTAGTCCCATATCTGCATCTTGAACGCACGATTAACCCGGAGGATCAACGGTTTGTGGAAGGGTCAAGTTCAGAACCCGAACCGCCGAACCGCACCTTCCGCTCAAAAGGGCTTCTAGTAGGGGCTTAGGGTTTAGGGTTTTGAGTCTGGAGATTAGTTTGAGAAGCCGCAGATCTAAACCTCCAACCCCTAAAGCCTACCCATAGGCCCCATAGTAGTTCCGTTTTGGGATTACCTCATAGGATCCCAAATATAAGCCACAAACAGAAACTACTATGGGGCCTATGGCTAAACCCTAAACCTTCAACCCTAAACCCCGAAGCCCTCAACCCTTCCTGGCATACCCCAGAGATCTATGCGAGGCAAGGCTTTTAAGCGGACTTCGAAAGGTTCCTGACTTGTCCAGTATCCTAGGGGCACCAGAGGTTCAGGGTTTAGGGTTTAGGGTTTAGGATCCTAGGGGAACCAAAGGTTTAGGGTTTAGGGTGTATGGGGTTAACCTTTGGGAACATAAAGGGTTCTAGTATCCCAACGAGAGTACCTAGAAAGGCTAAAGGCCAGCTACTCTGCTACTAGGATTCTGTATCATTTGGGGGTTTCCGAAAAATAGGGGACCCTAACATAGTACCCTAAATAGTAGGACCCCTATTATAAGGACCCCAAAATAAGGTACCCTAATTTTGGAAACTCCCATTTGTCGTTGCGCTACTGCTTGATAACCGTTACGCTTACGCGAGTGCTCTTCCCCAGTGTCTGTGGCAAGGCCGGTCTCAACTTGAACAGTCTGTTTGTGCCCTAAACCCTAACCCCTGAACCCTAAACCCTAAACCCTAAACCCTAAACCCCTAAGCCCTAAACCCAAAGCCCTAAACACTAAACTTTGCGGTTTAACGATTCTTGAAAATTCAGGGTTTGGGGCTGAGGGGCTTAGAGTCTTAGAGGGTCTAGGGCCGAAGCCCCAGACTCTACGCCCCAAAGCCGCAGTGAGTCTAGGACTTATGATGGGTCTCAAGATAGGTGGATGGGAGCCCCTTGTTTACGGAGTATCCTTGGAAGTGCAGCACGGTTCCTCAAATCGAAGGATCATGGAGTCTCTCCTCAGGAATTTCAGGGTTTAGGGTTTAGGGTTTCGGGTTTGGGGTTTAGGCTTTGGGGTTTAGGGTTCGGGGTTTACGGTTTGGGGTTTAGGGCATAAGGCATCTATGTGATAAAGTTGCCTTCGCAGGCATTTGTATGGGATACTGTATATAATATCCAGTGGCCCGCTTCATGATGAAGGGGAACCCTTTTTCCTACTATTAGGTTTCAATGAGGACACCCAACCCCCGAAAAAAAAAAGAGCAAAAGGTGGGAGACCTACCCATAGGCCCCATGGTAGTTCCTTTTTGTGGCTTCTATTTAGGATCCTAGTAGGTAATCCCAAGAAGGAACTACCATGCGGCCTATGGCCTATGGGTAGTCTGGAAACTTTGATCACGCAGGAAATCCAGAAGCTGAGGAGGCGGCGCGAAGTGCGGTGCACCCAGGGTTCAACAAGATTGTCTTCTAAGGCCCACAGGGGGTAAGTTTGTCATAAATCATTGTTCGCCAAGGGCCACAGAAGTAATATCCAAGCCGTAGATCTTGTGAGTGCAAGTTATTGCGTTGTCGGCGTGGCTCCTGCCGATTTGGGAAATAACAAGTTGTGTATGCCTCACCACGGTACAAGTCTGATACAACCCGTCGAACCAAAAGCCCAGAAAGCCTGATCCCAACTTGCCTTTCTATAGGGACCTTCATAATTAGAATAGGGTTCTGGGGTATATTATACTATGTATAAGGAGCCCCAAAATAGTATGGGTAATTTTTGAGGCCCCTATATATTACACCGCAAACCATAAACAAACCCTAAACCCTCAACAAAGCGCATGCATTCGAAAGCGATGTCACAGCACTGCCCCCTTCGAGGGCGTAGCTGCTGAAACGGCTGCAGAGGAACATGGGTATTTCCCGAAATTAGGGTCCCTATTGGGTTCGGGGTTTAGGTTTAGGGTGTAATTAAGGTTACTTAGTGTTTAGGAGTTGAGGGTTGAACAAACGTAACTTTACGGGCATAGGGTTCAGGGATGTGGCGTTTCGGGCAGTTTAGGATGTACCTTCACGCCAATACACTACTTTTAGTGCTCATGAAACCAAAATAAGGAAGCCGAAAAAGGCGTCCGGGTAGTGTTTAGGTTTATAGCTACATTTATGGTTTAGCGAATCTCAAGAACACATTTGTTGGTGTGAGGTCT